CACCACCCACCCCACCACCCACCAGGCCCACAGCTGCTCACTCTGAGCTCCGACCTCCACCCCCGGCCCGGCCCGCGGGTCAGGGCACTCACAGAGCAGGAATTGTCTCTGCCCCTGGGGGCCGGGGAGCCCCTTGGCCAGGCCTGAGCCAGTGGCTGGATCACCCCGGGTTTTGTCTGCAAAGGGCAGGGTCCAGAGGGAGGGTCCAGGGGTTCAGGTCAGGGATGGGGGGTGGAGGGGAAAGAGAGAGATGGAGCCACGGTGGGAGCAGGCCGGTGCTCAGGTCCACGTGCAGCAGCACCAGGAGCGGGAGGGGGGCAGGCCAGGTGGGCCCAGGTGCAGGGAGGAGGCCGTGACCACCAGCCCCAGGGCCCCAGGAGCTCCCTGCTCCACTGCCAGTCGGGTCTGGCCAAGAAGGTGCGTGGGCTGTGCCCTCCCAGAGCGACAGGTGCACCTGGTAGGTGCTGCCCCCTGGCCCCACTTCCTGGAGGACAAGGCGCCGGACACGGCACCTCTCCCAGCGGCACTCACCTGCTGGAGGCCGGGGGAGCGAGGAGTGTCCGCCATCTTCCCTCCAGCTGCCCCAGTCGGTACCTGGAGGAGCCAGGAGCCGGGTGAGTGGGGGGAGGGTCAGGCGGGGTGGGGGGCCCACAAGGAGTTGGGGAGTGGGGTGCTTGCCTGGTGCAGAGGCTGGTCCTCAGCTCCCTGACCCGATCACAGCCCAAGGGGGTCCCCAGATGGGCCTGGACTACTGCGTGGCCAGGCCAAGGCTTCTCCCCAAAAGGCTGTCCTGGAGTCCCCCAGGCTCCCCGCCCCACAATGCTGGGAACAGAGGGCTTGGCCTCTGCTCTGCCCCCCGCCCCCCAGGTGTCTGTGGCAGTGGGTGGTCTGGAGCTTCACGAGAGGTGGGGACAGACAGACCGAGGAAACAGGACAGAGTAGGGCCCGTGTGCTGTCCCACAGCTGCCCTCCCGGGAGTCTCAAAGGCACTGGCGGCAGGAGGCCCATCCCAGCCGGCCCACAGCGTGCCCTTCGGTCAGAGGACACGGCCCCACCTCCCCTGGGGCCTCCTGCTGGCACCAGGCCCAGCTCCCTCAGCCCGTCTCCCTGCCCCCGAGGCCCTCAGCCAGCGCCCCTGGTGCCCACCCGCCACCACTCACGTTCCTTCGGGGTCCCAGTGGCGCTGGCTGGACACAGCCTCTGGGGGCTACTTATGCTCTTGGGGAGGAGCAGGACCGGCTGTCCATCCTGCCCAGCGCCCCCGCCTGCCCCCGCCCAGCTGTCGGCTCAGCCTCCCCCAGCCCGGCCTCCATAGCTCCTGACAGCTGCTCCAGCCTGTCCTCCACGTGGCAACCAGGACTGAGAGCTCCGGTGGCCCCCAGGGGCCTCTGCCCTGCCCAGAGCCGTTAGGGGCCCCTCTGTCTGCAAGGGGCTCGGGCTCCCCCCACCAACTGTTCTGAGAGTCCCAGGGCCTTCGCAGGCGCCCCGCCTCCCGTCCCAGGTATAAGGAGTCGACAGCCGCACAGCCGCACGGCTTGGTTCAGTGATGGGGGACTGGACC